AATAAGAATGACTAGTGGTTACTAGTTGGGACTGTGTTGGTGTGTTGAATACGACAAGTGAATAAGAATGACTAGTGGTTACTAGTTGGGACTGACCTCTTTCCTTTTGACCTTGACTCCTGATATCTCTCCATTCCCACGGACACCGATGTATATGGTGCCGCACTTTTTGTTATTAAGAAATGCACAAAGAGACCTGGAAAATAAACGAAAGATATAGGGCGATGGTACTTAATCCGTGAAATAAAAACAAAATAGTTATTAACTAATAGTCGCAATTTAGTGCCTATTTAGTTAATCAATCTATATATGAATACACAGGAGACATCAAATACACAAGAAACATGTTAGTCATTTGTTCATCAATGCTATGACTATCAATTAATAACTATTTTGGCACTAAATTGCGACTATTACTTAATAACTATTTTGTTTTTATTTCACAGATTAAGTACCATCGCTCTAAAAGATGATAATGAAGACTGAAGAGAGTTTTGATGATAGTGATGTTAATTAGGATGCAGCTGATGATAATGATGATGATGTTGGTCATAATGCTGTAGTTGAAGATGAAAATGGTGAACGTTTTGATGCCGTGGACATTGTGATGATGACGACTATGATGTTGATGGAGGTGGCCAGCGATGATGGAGCCGATGATCATGACAGCTATGATTTTGGTGATGACAATGATTGTGGTGATGGTGCATGATGATGGATAAAGATCATTAAATGAAATATACTTACTTCATGATTTTTCTTTTTGAAATATTGTGAACATTTGTTTGCGAGCTGAAAACAACGAAACAGTTTGTCAAATGACACTATGAAGTCAAAACTCATAGTGTGGTGTTATGAGGTGCGTTGGTGTAGATGGGTGTAGTGTAATGTGGTGATGGTGTGCTGGTGTTATGAGGTGCGTTGGTGTAGATGGGTGTAGTGTAATGTGGTGATGGTGTGCTGGTGTTGTGAGGTGTGTTGGTATACATGGGTGTGGTGTAATGTAATGTGGTGATGGTGTGCTGGTGTTGTGAGGTGTGTTGGTATACATGGGTGTAGTGTAATGTGGTGATGGTATTCTAGTGTTGTGAGGCGTGTAGGTATAGATGGGTGTAGTGTAATGTGGTGATGGTGTGCTGGTGTTGTGAGGTGTGTTGGTATACATGGGTGTAGTGTAATGTGGTGATGGTGTGCTGGTGTTGTGAGGTGTGTTGGTATACATGGGTGTAGTGTAATGTGGTGATGGTGTACTAGTGTTGTGAGGTGTGTAGGTATAGATGGGTGTGGTGTGGTGTGGGATGTTGTGCTCGTTCTTGTTTTACCTGAATTCGTGTGTTTCGTCTTCACCGAATGGCATATGGTGTGTTTGCACATAGTAATTCTCGCACTCAGTTCCTGGTGACTAAAAAACGTAACAGGTATTTGTTACAGAAAGATATTTGCTCATGTTATTAAATAAGCAGATAAACAACGACCACTATCTGATGTTGCTATCATAATTCCATTTATGACTGTGCTATTCCCTATCACACCTTTCCTTATTTTAGTCATCCTTCCTTAGTCCCCTACCTTTTCCGTTGTTTCCTTCCTTCCTTTCTTCCTTCCTACTATATTTTTTCCTTTATACCTTAGTTTTTGGCTTCAATTCATCATTTCCTTCTTCTATCATTTCCTCCCTCCTTCCTTTCTTCCTTGCTCACTCCCTTCCTATCCCACTCTTTTTTTTTCTTCCTTTCTTTTTCTTTTATCCCTTCTTTCCTCCAACTAACATCTTGACATGTTCTGACTTCATTTCATCAAAATTACCACATTCAAAATTCTAAGCTTCCGAATGACGAGCCAAAGTAAAACAAGACATACTTCAAGAGTTGAGTAACTTGGTGTATATGTAGAAAGATCTTTGATAAGAGATTCTCCATCAGTATCCCCGTCTGTCTCGCTGGTCCATCTACCGGCATAATCATCATCTGAGCTAGTATCTGTCTCTGATAGCTCGCTAGATGCCTTCTTGATGCAGTCCATGGAGAGAGAAATGTGGGTTGGTTTGGCTTCTATCATCCCACGGTTGCGCTTTTTTCTGGGGGAAACAGGTGAAGATTATAGATGAATAAATAAAGACGAACAAATGAAAAATGATAGGAAAAAAGAATTAAGATAAAGTAGAAATAGAAGGAACGAAAGGCAAAAAAAATGTGGGAGAGAAAAAGGGCCATAAAGGAAAGAGAAAAAAGGATAAGGAGAGGATTAATGAAGAAAGAAAAAATGAATGAATGAAAGAGAGGAAAGAGAGGAAAGAGAGGAAGGAAGGAAGGAAGG